ATGGTGGACAGGTCAGGTGGACACTGTCTTCCACCGACTTAGAACTTAAGCTGTGGCCACCTCTTCCCCACCCACCTAGTCCAGTGAGCTGTTTCACTTTCCTCTGGCAGAACAGTTGCAGTGTACATCTCCTGTCTTTTACTTTTTCCATTTTAATTTAGGGAAATGTCAGTGATCCGATTTTCACATTACTTAATTTGAGAAATAGCCACACCCTTAATCTCCCTTAGTTTCATTTATATTGTAGTGGCATGAGTGCTCTTTGGTAAAACACGTAACGAAACATTTCCAGTTTTAGGATTTATTTATTCGCTTTGAAAAATATATCACAGAGGAGAAAGATTTGGCCACCTGTGGTCACTTTCTAGGCCTAGAGATGTTGTTTTAGGAATCTATCTCCAAATCAGTGGCACGGAAGTTGGGCGGCCTCTTGACTACTGAGCCCTGCGCTCACACAACCCGAGTAGCTGTGCAACTTTGAGTTTTTCGTGCAATTGTTTCTCTGCTTAACTTTCTAAGGAAACACTTGTCCAAACTGAGGATAGCCCTGCTTTAAGTTCCAGCATGCTTTGAGTTTTACAGCATCCAAGATTTTCCTAACTGCCCACCTCTTTCTTCTTTCTTTTTCTTTTTCGGTCTTAAAACACACTCTTTTGGCTGGTTCAGTAAGCAGTTTCTGCCAGCCAGTTGCTTTTATGGTAATTGACAGCATAGCTGAGTTTTGGAACCTTAGACTCTAAAAAGGCGTTTTAGCCCAGACTTCTGGAGGCTGAGCCAAGCTACTCGCAGGGTGAGGTACCGCTGAGCAAATGTCGGTGGTCAGGCCCTGGTCTGAGCATGCTCAGATTCTCTGCCAAGGAGCCCGCAGCATGCCTGTAGCATGGGCCCTGCTTTCTTCTGACTTTCGGCAGTATTTGTTCTGTGTCTTTGCTTCTGCCTGGAGCCCCCGGTACTCCTCCCAGAAGAGGGTCCATGAGACCAGCTGTCATGGGTGGGCAGAAGTGACCTGAGCATCATTACCGCCGGTGATGGGAACAGCATACCCACGTCTTCTGGAATGCTGACTGCACACTACAAAGACAGCTGGTTCATCAAGAAAAGAAGAAGCAAGTGTTTGCTTTGAAGGAAAAAAAAATAAGCAGCAAGGGGGGGGGGGGGAATCAGAGCATCTAATAGCAGCATGCAATGTGAGCTCCTCTGGTGATATCAGTCTCTAAAATAGCTGGGACATCTTCCACACTTCACCTCAGCACAGTTAATGGAAGTCTCCAAGCTAGCACATCTTTAGAGTTCTTGTTTTCCAGAAAATGCACAAAGAAGGAGATTGTTAATGAACTTTGGTGGTTCGTCTGGGAACTAGATTCATCACTCCTCAGGGTGGGTCTAGGTCGAAGTATCCTAGCCACACTGGGAAATCCCCAGTAATAGCCACACACAAGCATGCCCCTTTATCACCAGCCTGCTTTAAACGCAAACCACTGCGCTGCAGAAAAGCTTCCAGGTGAGGACAGTCAGCTTTTGGTCTGAATGAAATCCTGGGGAGTGTTAGCCTTGATAGAAATGCGAGCTGTTTCCAGCTGTTACAGATGATTCTCTGTCTTCAGAACCAGTTCTTCCTTACAATGCCAAATGTACCCACATGCATTAAAATAAAGTGTGAAAGTTCAGCCTTGGGACTCCTGCATGGCGTGTTGTTCTAAGATTTGTAAAGGTAGGGGTTAGTGAGACGGATGAAAACACTGCCATGCAAGTAGAAGGACCCAAGTTCAAATCCTCGGGACTCACATAGAAGCCAGGCACATAGTGGTAGCATCTGTATGCTAGGGCTCCCTCGGGGAGGGAGAGGCGGAGACAAGAAACCTCAGAACCTGGAGGACTGAGCTAGCCAGGTATACAGGACAGTGAACAGTGGCTACTTCAAACAAGGCAGAAACTGTGCCCTGTGACCTTTCCCACTGCTCCATGCATCAGGAGCACACGCATTTACACCCACAGACATGTCATGTGTACAGACCCATTGTACACACACAGACACACACACACACATGAGAGGGGGGGGAGAGAGAGAGAGAGAGAGAGAG